TTCCTTTTTGCTTCCTTGGGGTGGGGGCTCCGGAAACCGCTCTGGGCTTCATTGAAGAATGCATCTGGAAAACCCAGGGAAGGTGTCCTTCAGTCATCTCTTATGTTAGTTAGCCCAGAGCTAACTGGGTGGAGGAGAAAGGGAACCATAAATTGTTCTTAGGGCCTTCACTTAATAATAACAGCAGACCGAGGTGCAGACAGTGGACTTAGTGCTCCTTGGAGGTAAGGATAAAACTTCCCTCACATGCTTTGGCCATGTTGTTAGGAGGGGCCAGTACTTGGAAAAAGACATCATGGTTTTGAGTTGTACAGTCAGCGAAAGAGGAGGATCTTCAGTGAGATGAATTGACACAGGTATACATCAGGGATGGTGAGGATGGCACAGGTTAGGACAGGGTTTGGGTCAGCTGTTGCTGATCAACTCCATGATGCTTAACAGCCAGGAGAGGTGACACATGCATATTTAAGGCACAGTGCAGCTAGCTGAGTGATATTCTCTATAATGTCTAGTGGGTTATGGAGTTAAAACTTTTGAGTTCTTATCTGTTTGTATCTATGTGATTTGTTAAAAATGTAACTCATACCTAAACATTGCCTTCTTAATATCATATCTGAGACCTTCAGTTGAATGTAAAAATAAATTTAGGTGTGTTGTTGTTAATGGACTGTTGAGTCACTTTAGGAAATTATTAACAATTTGCAATTTTATTTACTGTTGTTTTCTTCCAAAGGAATTCAACATAACCTTTGAAGAATATAGATAGAGAATGAAGCTAGAGCTCAAAGACAAATAGTTAATGGAAAACCAGAGAGATAAAAAAAAGACTTTCAGCTTTATTTAAAATATATTGTCTTTCTTCGGCCTTTAGTTTGCAAGCAAAATGAGACAAAAGCCTATTAGAACTATTCCTTCCTGTCTGATTACTTTATTCTCTCCATCTCTGTCTTCAATTTATATTTAAAAGTTATATGGCTATTTGATCTTTATGTAATTCTACTGATGCTTCTAGTTTTGACCTCAGTGGGAGTAAAGAGAATCACTGTTTTTATAAGCTTTGAACCCCACTTTATTAATGGGATTTGTTTTTAGTTCCATGTGATCATAGTTAACTTCAGATCTTTAATGGGGTGAATGAAAAGCATAACACCAGGACACATACTTAAAGCAAAAATCACTGGAGCGTGTCTCTTTTAAGTAAATTGACCACCTCTACTAGGGATCTCTGGTGACTTAGTGCATAGGGAGTTGTGTTTCCAGTCCAAAGGTCTGGAAAGTTGAATCCACCAAGCGCTCTGTGAAAGATGGGCAGTCTTACCCTATGCTGTTTACAGCCTTTGAAAACCCTCTGGACGGTCAGCTATGAGCAGGTTCCAACTGTATGGTAATGAATAAGAGAGTGATCACTTTACCATATGTTGTTGTTATGTGCTGTCGAGTCGTTTGCGACTCATAGCGACCCTATGTACAACAGCCCTAAATCCTGCTCTATCCTGTGCCAATCGCATTGCCTCTGACACACCTATCCCGATTGCTCCAGTCACTGAATCAATCCACCTCATAGGGGGTCTTCCCCTCCTGTGCTGTCCCTCTGCCCTACTAAGCATGATGTCCCTCTCCAAGGACCTGTCTCTCCTTACAGCATGCCCAAAGTATGTCAGATGAAGCCCCAGAATCCTTGCCTTCAAGGAGTAGTCTGGTTTAACCCTCTCTAGGATGGATCTGTTTGTTTTCTTGGCAGTCCATGGAACATTCTATACTCTTCTCACCACAGCACCACAGCTCAGAGGCCTCAATTCTCCTTCTATCCTCCCTAGTCATTGTCCAACTTTCTGATGCATAACAAGTGATTGCAAAGACCATGGCCTGTATCAGGCTCACCTTAGTCTCCAGAGAGGCACCGTTGCTCTTGAGTACTTTAGAGAGGTCCCTAACCACAGACTTTCCCATCGCAATACGTTTTTTGATTTCCTGGCTGCTGGTGCCTAGAGTGTTGACCGTGGAGCTGAGCAAACTGAAGCTGTGAACAATGTCAATCTCTTCACCATCCATCCTGATGCTATCGATATGTAATTTGTTTTCTTTTTGTGTATGTTGAATGTTAAGAAATGGGAGACTCAGCAAGAGAGACTAGTACTAATTTGAAAAGTTTTTGGATTTTCACCTGTTACCCACACTGGGTGATAAATCTTCAGGGAGGCTTTGTGTTTGAATGTACTTCTTTAGTGGAGAAGCCAGTACTTAGAGCAGTAGTGTTAAAATGCTGACGTTCACACCTTTTAGATAAATAAAAGCATTAATTTCAGCATAAGTGAATAATGGGAAGGATGCTCTTAAAATACCTTCTTTTCTTTTCTGCTGTTAATACCATCCCTTTCCCTCCTTTCATCCCCCTTTTTCAGCAACAGCAAAATTTGCCTGCTTTCACAGTGGAGTAAGAGGAGACAGTGAGAATCCTAATGGGAGGAGCAGTCGAGCCTTGATGACTCCCTGAGGGATGAAGGTTTTAAAGAAATATGTGTTTAAGAACATGGACTTTTCTAGCGTGCTTATTAAATACGTTTAGTTAGGCTTCATCTGATTTCTTATTGAAGATACACTCTTTTAAAAAAAGAATTAATTCCCCTTAGGTAATTTTGTGTATGTGTACACCATCGAGTTAGAAGAGATTGCCCCTCCTTTTCCAGCTTAGCATTTGGTGGATTCGAACCGCATGACTTGGGAATTGCAGCACATGTCACTAGGCCACCAGAACTCCCCTTCCCGTAGCTAATTCTTAATAACATAAAAATAGAGACAGCCCTACTGCACTAAAGTCATTCCTAACTCTCGTTGCTGTGGAGTTGGATCTGGCTCCTAGCCGACTCCCTGGTGGGCTCCTGAGGCTGTAGATTGCTTAGGACGGGATTGTCCATCTCTGTCCCTTAGGGCTGCTGATGGGTCTCTGCCACCATGAGAGACACTGCCTTTAGGCTAGCTGTACAACTTCCTACAGACTAAGATGCCAGAACGCAGACTTTCATGAATATCTTTGTTTTTAAACCCAAGATTACTGAGAAGTTTGCGTGTACATCAGTGTCTCCAGGAGTCCAGAGTTTTGAAACCATTTATATAAATGCCTGTTGGTGGCATTGAGAGGAAAAAGGAAAAAAAGAATGAAAAAGTTTTTGCCGGGATCAATATGTGCCAAAGTTGAGACTTCAGTGGTTTAAGTTGTCTTGAAGCTAACTGACAATGCCTTGAGTTGCAGTACTGAAGGATGTGATGGGCAAAATCTTGTATGATCCAGTAATATATGCAGTCACTGTGTAAAAAATATTGATAACAGAACCATTTTAGAAAGTAGCATATGATCAAGAACCAGTGGTAATAAAGGAAGAAGTTTCAAGTTTCTCTGAAGCAACTGGCAAAAGAATAAGGCCTCAGGAATTGATGGAGTACCAGTTGACATTTCAGCCAATAGATGCCTCCCTTGGATGTGTTTACCAGTTTGTGCCAAGAAATCTGGAGGACAGCTACCTGGCCAACTGACTAGAAGAGATCTGTATTCTTTTACTGAAAAAGGTAACCCAGCAGAGTGTGGAAATAATCAAACAATATCATCCTGGAAAGGGTGAAACCAGGAGGCTCCCTGGAGGCAAGGATTCAGAGGCTCTAGCGTCTAACATACTTTGGACATGTTGTAAGGAGGGACCGGTCCTTGGAGAGGGACATCATGCTTGGGAGGGTGGAGGGACAGCGCAGGAGGGTAATCGGGATGGGTCTATCGGAGACATTGTAATTGGCACAGGACAGAGCAGAGTTTAGGGCTGTTGTACATACGGTTGCTATGAGTCGCAAGTGACTCGATAGCACATAACAACAACATCATACACATGCAAAATCTTGCTAAAGATTATCCAAAAGCAACTAGAACTGTACAGAGAACTGCCAGAAGTACGAGCTGGGTTTAGATGATGCTGCGGCATTAAGAATATATATCATTCCTGATGTCAGGTGTATCCTGGCTGAAAGCAGAGAAGGATTTGTATACCAGAAGGATGTCTATTTGTGTTTTATTGACTATGCAAAAGGCGTTTGATTATGTCGATCAAAACAGATTGTGGCTAGCACCAAGAAGAAAACAGATTCTAAACAAACATAATTTGCTAGACTTGTGGGAAAGAATGGCTCTTTAAAAATCCTTGTTTTCAATTTTGGTTGTGTTTATGTGTGTGTTGGGTGTTTTGTATGTGGGTTTGCTTTTTTGTTTGTTTTTTTTTTTTTATATTCCATTTATTCCAGAGTGGGATAGCTTGACTTCCCCCCTGAAAAGTAGTCAAATACTACTTCCTGTGTGTTGTGTCGGTTACCTTCCCCAATCTAAATTTAATTTGCTTCCATAAAGCAAGTCTTGTCACCTGCTTCCTTGTTCCTGGAAGATGGATTGACACGGTGACTAGGACAGTGGGTGCAGATTATGAGGATGCCCGCGGACATACGGCTGTGTTCTGATCTGTTGTTCATATAGTCACTGTGAGTTGTTGTTGGCTGTAGGGCACCTAAGAACAAGCATGGAGGGTGGTGCCTATTACAGGCTTGGCCAGTTGGAAACTATCAGTAGCACTAGCCCGAGACAGATGTCAGTCTGTCCATGCCCTGTGATTTACAGCCTCCCAAAACCATGATGGAGGGTTTGCTATGAGTTGACTGAGATTTAATGGCCATGAGTGTGACTTTTTTGAAGCACTTGCTAAAGAGTCATCTATGGGGACGGAAGGGGTCAAGTGCGTGTGGCTAGCTCTGTGACATCAGCTTGGCGCCTCTCTGGCTCTGTGACGTCATGGCTCGCACCAACCCCGGGAAGGAGGCTGGTTTACGTTACTGCGCATGCGCATCTCCCTTGCCTGGTCCGCTGTTCGGTTTTAACCGGTCATTCACCGCTTTCGCCCGGATGTGCGGGCCCCTTCTCGGCTGTCGGAATCATCAGATTATCCTCAGAGATCCCATGGACCGCCTGGATGTCTGATGATGAAGATATGTTCGCCTTCTCCAAAGACGGCGAAGAGGACGAAAAGACAATTTTGCCAGCCCTGACCATCACCGGCCGTGAGTACCCGCTGAGCCTTGCTCTGAGTCCCTCGTCATCGGAAGAGCCCCTGATGTTGGAGGTGACGGTGGATTCGGATGAAGACCTCGGCTTCGGGGACACAGACATCAATCCGATCCTGCTGGTGGGCGAGGCCGACGAAGAGCGGTGTCGGCATATCCGCAGGCAATACCGGGAGCTCATGTACACCGTGCAGCAGCATCGGGACCACATCGTGAACACGGCCAGCGAGTCGCTGACCCAGGCCCTCCGCAAGGCCGACGTGCTGTTCGACGGCGTGATCAGGACGCGAGAAGCCGCCCTCGACGCCCAGTTTCTCGTGTTGGCTTCTGATTTGGGCAAAGAAAAAGCGAAGCAGTTAAACTCTACCATGAATTCTTTTAATCAAGCCGCATTTAGCAAACGTCTGTTTAAATTTGCGGGCCTGAATTGGTTGGAAGAAGAGCACGACAGTTTGGATAGTTGTGAAGAAAGTGTTGCGCTTTCCTTCTGGAAGAAAATCCAGAAGGAAGCAGCGTGCTGGACTCAGCGAGCTCAAACCTTCCACTTTATGTTGGGGTCCTTCGCCTCCAACTCTCCCATGCGAAAGCCGCGGCCACGGAAAAGAATTCGTAGCATGGAAGCAAACCGAGATATGCCTTCGCACTTGAAGATGATGGACCTGGAATGTAATCAGGAGACGACCGAGAAAGAAGTAGAAAGGATTTTGGGATTGCTGCAAAGCTACTTTACAAAATACCCGGAGACGCCTGTGTCGTATTTTGAATTCGTGATTGACCCCACTTCTTTTGCGCGCACCGTGGAGAACATGTTTCACGTGTCTTTCATCATAAGGGATGGCTTTGCAAGAATTGGGCTCGACCAAGACAGGCTGCCGACCTTGGAGCCACCGAATACCAGCCACGTGGATGAGGGCTGTGATGCCATTAGCTACAATACAAAGCAGGGAGTTATATCCTTGAGTTTAGAAGATTGGAAAAATATTGTAGCAACGTTTGAAATTTCAGAGCCTATGATAAAACATAAGAGAGATTTTTATGTGTAGCAATCGGTACATTTTAAGGTTTTTCTGAAGTACCGAAAAATAGAGTTTTAAAAGTTTTGGGGGAAGAACATCAGAAATTATCTTACTATGCATTATATCTGGTAGCATATAAAATTGTCATAATCTATGAAGGAAAAGTTGTTTGTGTGTCTATGGGGAAGCATTTTAGTACCTTTTAAGACCATAAAATAAAACTTAAGTTCTGAATTCCTTAAAAAGTAGATTGAGTATAACATTGTCATAATCCATTTTTAAGGAAAAGTTAACCTTGTGTGTCCTTAGAGAAGTATTTTAGTCCCCTTTAAGACCATAAAAATAAAACTAAAGTTCTGAATATCTTAAAAAGTGGATCTGGTAATGAGAGCCAGCTAGGCCCTGTGATACTCCATTGCAGCCTTTGTCACTGAGAGGTAAGGGAACCTCAAGGGGTCCTAACCTGCTTGGGGTAAAGGTGAGAAAAAAAAAACTAACTTGTCTGGTCACTGCAACCAACTAGAGAGGCAATGTTAAAACTTTAATAAAAACACAAAAATCAGATGATAGGCTTCACTAGAGAAAGGATTTGGCCTTTTCTGTGAATGACACCAATAGACTAAAGTTCTCCTACCATTGGACTTCTAAGAGTATAGTGGTAATAAGTAGGCAGGGTCATTCAGCTGAGAGATGAAAGATAAGTAGGTGTTAGAAAAGATGAGACAGGCGGACATAGTCAACATCTATTTACAGATCTACTCCGGGAAGTCATTCTTACCCGTACGACTTCTTGTACTTAGAGCATGCTTCTGCTTAGTGGAGTCATTCAGTATCAGTCTTGTCATGTAATAGCTTTGGATATTTCTACCAGTTTTACTCTGTTTTAATAAGCCTTTAAATGTGTACAAAATAGGATGTTTAAATCAATTGTTCAAGTGAAAAGTGATTTTATACGTATCTTCTCTTGGGGTACATTTGTTTTTGTTTCTTTGCTTATACTAAGAATAGGAGCAAATTTGAATATATAAATAGACAGCCTTCTCTGTAGATGACTGTTGACTAAGAAAACAGTTTTTAAAGGTGCGGGAAACATAAAAGCTACTTTTTGTGATCAGTATAGGAGCCTGCCTGTTGGTAATTGTGGAAGTTTGCCATTAAAATACCTGGTTTTTGGCAGGTGGATTAGTATCTGTTTAATGTAGTGGGAGCAATATGTTTTCCAGTGTGATAGAGGCAAGGGAGAGCCAAGGATTTAAAGACTGTCATCGAGTAAGATTGTGAGGGAGTTTGTGTGTGTTTACAGGAATCTTCTTTACCAGGGAATATGGGGATTTTACCAAAAATAGAATTTTCGTTTCTAGAGATTAGAGATAGGCATACTGCATTTGTACTATATAGTGTGGCTTAAAATTTGTGTGGATCTGAGAAAAACCAAACCGTTTTAGAACAGTGTTGAAGAATTTTTTTTTTTTTTTAGCTAGAACTTTATTGTGTTGCTAACGCCTATTTCAAGTATCCTGGAAGAATTAGAACTTCATTTACAAAACTTGTTGGACATGCACTTTGAAATGTTGATTGGTGGTGTGGTGTACTGAAAAAAGCAAACCGATTGCAGTCAGACAGAGCTGGATTCCATTATAGGCTCATGAGCAAGTTTCTAAATCTCTTGAGTATTTCCGTAGTGTTTTGTATAGGAAACGAAAATGACATTTGTTTGGAAGACTTTGCTGAGAGGATTGACTAGGATAACAAATAAAGTATCTAGCACTGTGTATGTCTCATCGTGGTCACTCGTGTTACCCCACGCTATGGAATCAGCATCAGCTGATTTCATGGTGTCACCCCCTCCTTCCAGGTGTCCTCTCTATAGTGGCTTATCCCTGATTTTCCTATCCTCTTACCCTTAATACTTACCTTAGACAGTATGTTAAGAAATAATTGGTATTTGTACTTGATGAATTTACTTAACAAATATGAGTTCCCACTGTGCACACTGTTCTAAATATTGAAGATCAAATAGTGTACAGGTCCCTGTTTCTCATTGAATTTGCATTCGAGTGTACATTGCACAAATACAACAACTGGTTCCTAAGAGTCTACTTCGGACTCACTATTGCAGGACCATTATTCAGCCTGCCACAGAGGGGAGGCCAACAGTATTCCCATTAATGATGATTACCAGCATTTGGGCCTGGGGTTGGAATTTTTTATATTTTTTTATGTATTTTAGACTTTCTGGCCATATGGTCTCTGCGGCTGTTTAACTCCGCATAGTATTATGGAAATAAATGAGTATGACTGTTGCGATAAAACTATGGATACAGAAATTTGAATTTCATACAATTTTCCTGTATGATGAAATATTTTGATTATTCTCACTCCTATTCACCCACCCTTCCCCTAAACAGTTGAAAATGTAAGAACCAACTCAAGGGTTCATTCAACTCAGCTCAAGGGTCATTCATGGAAAACAACAAAATAGCCTGGTGGATTTGCCCAAGTGTTGTGCTTTGCCAGCCCCTGTCATAGGCTTAAGACTTAGTCTTTTAAAAAGCCTGTGGCATTCAAACCATCACTTAGCCTCTTGCTTTCCTGGCTCTTAACAATGCCTGAGAACAGGCTGGTGGTCCAACTCCAGTAAGCTGCAGCGTTAGTAAACCAGATCACCAAGGAAATGAGCAGTTTAACGTGTAGCTTAAATAATCATTGCTGGGATTTTTTTCTTTTTCCATTTTATTTTTCAATAGCCTATTCCCGTTTTTCTGTTTCTTCACCCGCCCCCCCCAATTCTTTTCCCTCCTAGTTTTTTTCTCCCATCCATATTTCAGGAGCCCACGTCTGAGCTTGTATGGTGTAAGGTAGAACATGCAGCTGACTGTGCTGTGTGTGGTTGTCTGAATCTACTGATTGTACTGCCCAGAGTTTAAAATGTTCAGACTCACTCCACAGCTTCATCGCTCTCTCTGTGCACTGCAAGTATAATTAGACTTCAAGTGTGACTCATAGACCCTAGGTCTGATAGGAATTTCAGTAAAGAACAAATTATAAACATGGGGGCTGGGGAGAGTGAGTGATTTTCATCATGACGATGCATGTTCTTTCTTTGGTGTGGGGAAGTAGGGACAAGGTGGTTTTGATTTAAAAGTCCACGGCCAGTGATTACCTTCTGTGATTACTTGTGCTAAGGAGAGACAGGGCTGATAAAATAAGGCTGAGATTGAAAATGGCTGGATGGGTTTTTTTTCCAGAAGAATCTCCAGCTGTGATTATTAAACTCTTTCACACCAAGTCAGCCTTACGCTCCTGAAGGCCTACTTATCTGAAGCTTCTGTTGAGTCTTTGATGTCTGTGGATATTATTACCAAATTGTTTTTCCCCCCCACAGTGCCTTGTATTGAAGGAACTGGTTCTGTCATAATGCCAATTGATGAGTACTGGCTGTGTCTGCCAGCCTGCCCCGCTAGCCCTTTTGTCCACACTGTCAGGGTGATGCGATGTCCCCACTGTGGCTGCTTTCCAAGTGTCCACCCTTCAGTCCTTGAACCACCTTACGTGGCCACCATGCTGCCGAGAAGCAGCCACAGTGCGGTGCTTCCTTCTCCATCTTCCTCCACCGAACCCCCTTCCACATCCCGAGCACCTCCTGCTTCTGCTGCTGACCCCAAGCTCTGCCTCTCACCCTCTCCACCTGACCATAGGCAGCAGAGGAATGTGCATTCTGGGATGGTAAGTGTGGGGCCCGTTTTGGTTTGCCAAGTTAGATTTCATTTACCAAGAAAGAGTTTGCCGGTTGTTTTTAAATAAAAGGTAATGTTTTGATGCCTGCATCCCCCACCAACAAAACCAAAACGAAAAAAAAGGTAGTGTTAAGGATATCACCAAAACTCTCCTCAGCTAATATGGAATGGCTGGTTGTGTTTGATTAAAAAATCTTAGCATTTAAGTTCTGAAACTATTATATACCAAATATATGGCAGCTAAAGGCCAAATAGAATGTAAGAGACTTCATGTGCATGTAGATGAAAGGAGCTTTATTTAAAATGTCTTGAAAGGCTGCACATTTTACATTTCGCTAGTTATGCAGCACTATGTCCAATAATAATTTTGTTCTGAAATTCTTTATTTCCTGCCTTAGCCAAACTTTATAGTAACGTATTAAATATTAGGCAAGTTTACTTCAAATTGTGGCATTGAGTTTTTTTAGCTGGGCCTGTGTTTACCAGGCTGCTCCCTTAGTCTGCGAATCTTTTATCTTCTCATTTTTATACCTCTCTGACTAGAAAGGTGATTGATAGAATATATAGATCTATAAAAAAGTAGAAGAGAATATTTTTAAGAAGTAATTAAAAATGTAGTTTAAAAATTTCAGGGGGGGGGAGGACTGAATTTAATCTTAAACTGAATTTATGGAGCTGTCAGAATCTTATGTGGAAAAATATAAATGAGCACTTAAGAGTAGTGCATTCAAAGGATGCCCAACTGTTTGCACTGGTGATATCCTTTAAGGCAACCAATATTTTTCCTTTAAAAACTTCCTTTTTTTTTCTTCTAGGAAAGATTTCTTTGCACTGCTTTTTATTTGATAGACTTTTTCCAAAAGTTTTTTATTACCTCCCACTGCAACTCAGCGCCCTTAAATAGCATTTGCCCACTTCTGCCTCACTTCAGTCAGCGTAACTTTTTCAGTGGCCATCAGTGTTGATGCACCAAGACATTGCTGCGTTGATGTTAAAGTATGTTCCCTCCTGTTGTTCTTCTTCTTTAGGTTTATCAGAAGGGGACACTTCACAAGCCATCAAGAATGAATGGCTCTGAGAACCTTCCGGAGTCCTATGACTATGACCTTATCATCATCGGAGGTGGCTCTGGAGGGCTGGCAGCAGCTAAGGCAAGGCTCTGTCGTGTTGTGTTGACTTGGTGGAATATTCACATCCCTGGTACTGAATTTGTCATTCTCTGGGATTACTTAATCCACTACTAATCTATTTGGTGATTACTTAATCCACTACTAATCCATTTTGCATGTGAACTTGGACGGACATGTTAAAGAATCTGCTTGAAAGTCTTCTTTCAAAACCGAAGCATGGTGTGTTCTTTAGATAAAAAGTTGTAGGCCCCATTTTTTGGAATGCATTTCCATCAACTTGAAGTTTGAGTTACTTTTTTATAGTAGAGGTATTGCAAGGAAGTACTGACCTGGAATTGAAGATGCTTCTTTATTTATAATATTTTTCCACATCATCCATTTGCCTATTTACAACTAATTTCAACTCAATGGAAGAAATGGCGAGAAGTGGAATACTTTTAATGTTTGTTTATTAAAAATGCCTTCCTTCCTCTGTGTATGAGGAGAACACCCTCTGGCCTCATGACCTGAGGCTGACAGGGAAGAAGTGGCATAAATAGTTAGGAGTAAAGCAGGAGCCCTGGTCATGCTCAGCTAGAGGGTTGATGGTTTGAACCAACCAACTGCTCTGTAAGAAGAAGATAATGAAGTCTGTTTCCAATGAAGATGAAAGATAACAACAGGCAGACACAGTGCTGTGAGTCACTTTCAGCTCTTGGGCTCCCTCCCTGCGGTTTACAGTGCTGTAAATCTAACAGGGACGAACATGACCGCCTATTCTCCTCAGGAGCAACTGGTGTGTTCTAACTGCAGACCTTTCGGTTAGCAGCCCGGCACTTAGCTTGCTGTACTACCAGGGCCACTTGCATAAAGATGATGGCTTTGGAGACCCTGCCCGGTCAGTAGCTTGGTGTGGGTCTAGCAGTGATGTTCTTGAGCCTGAATCCGAGATACACTTTCCATCCATGAGCCCTTTTCTGAGCTTGTCACAAACTCAAAACAACTAAAGATCTGTATGTGGAAGAATCACTATTGGATGGTTACCAGCGACGAGGAGGAGGAGAGTGAAAGTTAGTAGGTAACAGGCACATAGTAAGATGGGTGAAAGGAAAGGCAGAATCCGATAAGGGATGATTAGGACAGTGTCACTGAAGGGGGGAAGGCACACAGAAGTATGAGGAGGACAGTCAATAGAAGGGTGTGTGTGTCATAGCAACCCTATGAACAAAAGATCTCAACTTTGTTCTATCTGGTGCTGTCCTCACACACAGACAAGCAAGACAGACAGACATGGATAGGTAAAAAGAACTGTACCCTTGACTACACAGAGGTTTGGCAGATGCTGTTTCTACATTTGTATTTGTTGTTGTTGTTATAGACAGTCAAATTGAAACCAACTCATACGTGACCCTCCAGCAGGTTTTCAAAGGTTGGACATTTAAAAGGGGAGGACACTGCCTGTATTTTCCCCCCACAGTATCTGGTATATATGAGGGTAAACCTTCAGGCTGGTAGCACATCTCCTTACCACTGGGCCACCAGAGCACTCTACATTCCCATCCATGTATTCTAGAGATGTATCCGTGTGTGTGCTGCAGAGTCAGCAGGAGCCAGTGCTTTGTAAATTTCTAAATCATAACCAAAGGCCCTGACGGAATGACGTGCTGGTTCTGGAGAGCCTTGAGCCCATAGCCGCAGGGAACATCAGAGTCAGTTGGCTTAAAAGACCACAGAGATCAAGCTTCTGTGTATTACTTTGGTGAGTAGCAATGGGGGTGTTGAAAGCTTGTGAGCACCGGCCTTAATTTAGGTGCAGCTATTGATATCTCCCTATCTGAAACAAAGGAGAGGGAAGAAAAACAAAGATTTACTGAAACAATTAGTCTAAAGGATTAAAGCACCACACGATCCTCAACTTCCATAGCCCCAGACCAGAAGAACTAGGTGTTGCCAGTTACTGCCAATAAAGATCTGAATAGAGTACAGGGAAGTGTGGAGTATTATTAAAAAATATGAAAAGGGCTAAGCTTAGAGATCTGATAGAGACTGAAGAAGCCCTTAAAACTATGGCCCTCAATTACCCTTTGACCCTGGAAAAAAATTCACCTCATGACTCAGCTTTCAGCCAAACAAGGAAGAAGTCTGTAAGATGTCCAGTAACACTAGGGCCACAGTCACTCCTTAGAATAATCAGTACAAGTTCAGAAGAGGGTAGAAGGATTAATGGAAATGAGAAGTACAGGCGGGAAGTAGGAAACGTACAGTTACATTGTGGTGGTGAGGTTAGGTGCCTTCGAGTAAGACTCAAAGGCCCATAGTGACCCTATGAACAAAGATCTCAACTTTGTTCTATCCGGTGCTGTCCTCACACTTCCTGACACACTACAGCCCATTGCGGCAGTCACTGCATCAATCTACCAGGTTGAGGGTCTTCCTCACCCTCCACTCTTCCCAGCACCATGTCCTTCTCCTGGGAATAGCCCCTCCTAGCACCATGCCTAAAGTATGTGAATTAAGGCCTCATCATCATCCTTGCCTCCAAAGAGCACTCTGGCTGCACCCTTTCCAAGATATATTTGTTCTTTTGGCAGTCCATGGGATGTTCGGTATTCTTCAGCACCACCACAGCTCAAAGATCGATTGTATTTTCTGTCATTCTTATTCACTGTCCAGCTCTCAGATGCACAGCAAGTGATCAGAAAGACTATGGCCTGACTCAGATGCACCTTAGTCCTCAAACTGACATCGTTGTTGTTATGTGCCGTTGAGTCGCTTGTGACTCATAACGACCCTATGTGTACTGACATCATTACTCTTCAGTAATTTGGAGAGGTCCCTAACTGTGGATTTTCCCGATGCAATGTGTCCGCTTATTTCCTGACTGCTAGTACTAATATGACTGCTGGTCTTACAATATTTAGAAATGGTAATATACATGAACCATTCATATATGCAAATAAAAATTGTATGCATGGTTGAATGAAAAAGTCTTTGTAAACTTATAGTCAAGTTACAATAGAAATGAATGAATTTAAAAAAGATGAAGCAGTTATATATAGTGCCTTAAGCTCTGTGAATCAGTAAATGCCCATTCAAATGAAGCTGTGTAAATTTGGAGCAACCCAGAGCAAAAGTCACTGGTCATTTGCTGAAAGCGACTGAGCACTAACATGTTAAATTTAACTACTGTAATGGGCTTTCAAACAACCTTGGGAGTCTAATTGCTAATACACAGAATTTATTCTCTGAGAAAGATAAAGTATATTCTGTGAAATAACGTCTTCATTATTCCCTCTGAAAAGGATTAAGAACCTGTTAGATATTGTTAACTTTTCCCTGAGCTCCTCACAGAAAAATGTTAGGAAGTTCGCTAATTTTAGAATCAAAGGCTTGTCCATACTCTGCTTATAAATGAAATTAGATCGAAGTTATATTTTTTAAAAATATTACATTATAGGTGTAGACTGTAAACTATTGACAGGATAATACTACTTACCACGTGCTTGAAAAATGGCTTACTCTATTACTACCCCTTACCCTATTATTTGATTAGAACCGTATGGAAAGGAAGGAAGCGCTGGAAATGCAGTCCATAGAGCATTGTGCTACTGGCCCAAAGCTGGTAGTGTGAACCCACTAGCAGCTGCTCTGAGGGAGAAAGTTGGGTGGTCTCTGCAATCTGTAGCCTTAGAACCCTGCTGGAGGCTCAGCTAAGAGTCGTTTCCAACGTAATGGCAATGAGCGGAATCTGCAAAGGGATTCTAAGAAGTTCTGGTGGCATTGTGGTTAAGGCATTGGGCTGCTAACTAAAGGTTGGTCATTTGAACCCACTAGCGATTTGGCACAGGATAGAGCAGGGTTTAGGGCTGTTGTACATAGGGTCGCTATGAGTCTCAAACGACTCGACGGCACATAACAGCCACTCCATGGGAGGAGGAGGAAGTAGTCTTCTTTCAAAAAGATTTATAGCCTTGGAAACCCTGGGGGTGGGGGTGGGGGGTGCAGTTCTCCTGTCCTGACCGGTCAAACTAGGCTTGAAGACTGTAGGGATATAAGGGAGGATTCTAGAATTTCCAGCAGATTCTGAAAATTTTGCAGCAGTAAATTTGTGTGTTTAAGCTGCTTTTTATGATCTGACTCTCTTTTCCTTATTCTGGAGTTGGACAGCACCTTGACTTGTGAAATTCCCAGACAATAACAACTGGCTATGCTATAGCTGTTGTAATGCGTTAGCAGTGGCGTGGGCGTTTAACCAGTCCTTTCTGATCTATCTTGTTAGCCTTTCCAGGGAGTTTTAACATACTAAATACAATCAATTGTTTTCCAGGAGGCAGCCAAGTATGACAAGAAGGTGATGGTCCTGGATTTTGTCACCCCGACCCCTCTTGGAACTAGATGGGGTAAGCTTTTAAAGTATTTTAGATGCGAACTTGTAATAAAGCAGGATTTTAATTCGTCTTAAGTCCTTCTGAAAACTTAGAGGTTTTTTTTTAAATTAAACTTAAAAAACATTCTTTTTTCAACTGATGTAAGTAGACTCAGGATCCATTTGAAATCAACTCATGTTCAAAAATACTGACAATTTTGGTACTGAGTTAAGATTGTAAAAACCTGATCCACAAACTTTTATGATAAATAAAGCTAAGTATTTTTAGTACTCGACTATTCTTTGAAAGTTTATCTAGTATTACTTGAAAGTTTGATAAGTTTTTATCTGTAAAGTCATTATTGACACATACAGCAAGTTCCTTGAGAATAGTGGTGGGAGTGATATGTCTGGTTTAAGAGGTGACTGGGGATGATTTCTCAGCGTCCAGGCAGAGAAATTAGAATAACTGTAGGTTCATGCTTGAACACCACAGATTACCCTGCACTCTTCCTCATATTCATTTGTTGTGCCCTTTTACCCCCACCAGACTCCTACGTTTAATTCTAATGGGACCATTCTGTCCCCATACTGAAATCTTAAGTTCAAGGAAGCTAAAATCTTTTGGTTGAAAATCAAATGTAAGTCATCTACTATCAGAGAATACCTTTTACTAATGTAACACATTACGTTTTATGTGTATTTTTAGCTACTGCAGTGCAGCCTTGTCTCCTTTATCTGTTCTGTACACATCGGCAACTTATTTGTTTAGAATCTTGGTAGTGTGTGAAAATTATGGAAATCTCCTTTTGTTTTATGATGCTGTCAGCTGTATTTTGAATACAAGGTTCTCTCTGAACTTAAGAAATGCTGAGGCATTAAAAATAGACTTAAGTCAATACTATCATCCACATTAAGGAAATAAATTTTGCCTCTTTGAATGATTATAGTCGTTGACCTTTTTCTCTGAAGGATGGTGATAAAGTTTTTTTTCTTTACATTGTAGGTCTCGGAGGAACATGCGTGAATGTGGGCTGCATACCAAAGAAGCTGATGCACCAGGCAGCTTTGCTGGGACAAGCCCTCCAGGACTCTCGCAACTATGGGTGGAAAGTCGAGGACACAGGTATGAGGGGATTGCACTGTGGCCTTGTATTATCTGTTCTTAGGAGGCTAGTGAATGGGGAGCTCTGGTGAAAGGAAGGCATGACAACCTCCTCCTGTAGGATTAACTGCCTCTGGAAACCAGCTATGGGTCGGTTACAACTCTCAGTACACAATAACAGCAGTTATTTGCAATTGCTTGCAAGTTTTTGTTAAATTTCAAGAATAATTACAGCTGTAACTATCCTGCTAGACTCTACGGTCCACAACAAAGAGCTACCAGAGTTCCCTATTTTATAGCATACATAGGGTTTGTATGTGACTTCTATTGTTGTCGCCAACTCTGTATACCTTTCAGTATAGTAAGACTGGGTATGGTACTTGCTTTCTTTAATGTTGCTGTTGTATACTGTAGAGTCGTAGTAGGAAACTAGAATTTCATACAATCAAGTCCCTTTGAAGTCCCTTTGATTATATGGTCTGTGGTATTGTTGTTGTTGTTGTTGTTATGTGCCACCGAGTCATTTCCGACTCATAGCGACCCTATGCACAACAGCTCTAAACCCTGCTCTATCCTGCGCCAACCGCACCGCCTCTGACACACCCATCCCGATTACCCCAGTCACCGAATCAATCCATCTCATAGAGGGTCTTCCCCTCCTGCACTGTCCCTCCACCCTCCCAAGCATGATGTCCCTCTCCAAGGACCCGTCCCTCCTGGCAACATGTCCAAAGTATGTCAGACGAAGGGTACTGAATGTACCCTGGACTGCCAGGAAAACAAACAGATCCATCTTGGAGAGGATTAAACCAAGCTGCTCCTTGGAGGCAAGGATTCTGGGGTCTGTGGTAACTAAGTGTTAATTACTTTTGCATTCTTTTGAAATGGTTGGATTTTTCTTCCTCTGAAGCAGTCTGTTTTATGAGTTAACTTTTTAAGGGAAGGGAACTTAGCCTTTGTTGGGTTAAAATATTTTTAGTACAAAATAACACCCCCATGATACATCTTCAAGGATATGAACATGTACAGCCAAGCACAATCAATAAGAGTACATCTAAATTCCAAAATCAATCTCCATAATAGTCTATGTGTTTCCTACTGCCAAAGGGGCCCTTTAGAGTAGTGAGAGAAGATCTTCACCCTGAAACCCACAGCGTCCCTTTTCAGCAGGAAGTAGCTAAGAGAATACGCCATCCCCTTTTCCTTATGACTCAGGGTGAAGTCTCTCTCAGGGAGGAGTGATAGGGAATGGCAAAGGACACACTGACAAAGAAGATTAAGCAGAACTGGCTTTGACAAGCACTGTGGCATTTGGACAAGAACAAACTGGGAGGAGGGTAGAGAGAATAGTGCAACAATGAATGAATGGAAACCCGAAATCTCTGTAAATGTTTATGAAAATTAATAAAATATAGAAAAAAAAGAAGTTAAAAAAATATTTTTAGTACAAAATAAACTTAATTATCTGATAGGAGACTGAAATGAGGGCCTAGCACAGCTTCCGGGGCCATTAATGATGGGCCCTACTCTGTCACTGAGAATGAAACGCCAGCTCCTGGGTTTTAAGATCAGGGTAGGGAGAACATGTGAAGGATGTTCAAACCAACTACCCAGCCAGGAGTTAGGGTATTAAAAATCAAGGCAAAACTATCTGCTTTGAAAAGTTTTCTCCTCATACTAGTCATTGTTGATTGATGCTTTTGCTTCTCATTAAGATCAGAAGCACTGTAGATCCGGAGTCTCGGAGAATGAAGATACTTAAGGTCTTTGTTTCCCTAAACCTTTGCATGACTGCGTTCTGCTTATGACCTTTGGAGCATTGAAGCTGGTACTGAGAGGTCGTACTTGATCATTCAGTGGTGCTATAAATAGAAGGGGAAGAGACTTGTCATCTTTCTCCCGCAGAGTGACAGATTGAAATCACCAAAGAAGCCTGATCTCTTGGTTTGCAGCCCAGCGCTCTACAGTCAGTGCCACCAGAGCTCATGACAGCAGTTGTTATTGTGTGCCACTAAGTGGGAACTGACCCAGAGCTGACCCTCCAGCCAGTTTTCAGAGGCAGGAACTTACTCGGGAGATAACCCGTTCTTCTCCTGCAGAGGTGGATTCCAGCCGTGTGCCTTTGGGATTGCAGCACAGCTTCTCAACACTAGGCCACTAAAGCTCCCTCCTACAACAGGTTGTGTTGTGGCTGAGGACTGTAGAGTTAGAATTGACCCTTGGATGACCTGCCGGCGACTTTTCAGAGGCAGTTAATTGCCTGTGTGGAGATTGCACATCCTTCTCCTGCAGAGCAGCTGGTGGCCTCAAACCGTGTGCCTTTGGGATTGCACCTTAGCTTCTTGCTAAGAAGCTCCCTCCTTCTTGCCAGAGCTTCCTCCTCCAGGTAGCTACATGATAGCCTCAATGGCTACTCCTCTGTGGGGTCAGTACTCCAGGAGCTTCCCTGGGGCAGGCCCTTGGAGAGCTCTGTGGGACTCAGGTGTGGCCTCCTCACAGTGCTTTCTAGGAAAGAAGGGCAAGTTACCTCTGTAGTACTAAGGCCATACTCCAATTTCTCCTTTTTGCTTTTGGGAGGAAAATTTAAGAAGCACTCATTTTCTTGTACTTAACCCCCTTCCGCAGATCTGTACTATTTTCAGTAGGACCGTCCTCTCTGAGCTACCTCGTAATCAGTTTCCTTCTTTATATCCCCATCCTGCCCCACTCAAGTGTCTGCTGTGGTAGCTAGACCAGGGTTTCTCATTCACTACCCATGTTAATGAGGATTAAATCCAGTGATGTGGTGAAAGTCCTTGCCACTTAACCAGTGTTAGCTTCTCTCCTTTCTCCTGGACTTAGATCTTTTCGTTCATGACCAGAATTTCATAAATTGGAGTGGGCTCTGCTAAGCCTTTTCCTGGTTGTTTGTTTAAAAGTTTAACTTTCACTGGTATTACAGGAACTTGTATATTTGAACCAAGCCAGCTCTCTGAAAGAAAAATGACATGTGATAGCATTCTGAAAAAGTCTGGAATTTCACTGTTGGAAAAAGCCAGATTGTTCCAAACAGATTTTGGCTGATGGAGCTTTCTGACTTGTATGTGTTCTCTTCTCTTCATGAGTGTTACTAGCCCTTAAAGTTGATAGTTAACTGTGCTCAAGACTCCAACGGAAAGTTCTGATTTAGCCATCTAAGGTCTTAAGTTCTTTCAAGTCGAGTATGACTCCTAGCAATCCTATGAACAGAAGATCTGAACCCTGTTCTATAACTATCATTTTCAAAGGCATGCTGTTTAGGAAGTGGATGCCAGTCCTGTTCCAAGCCTGTCTTAATCTGGAGCTCTACCAAACACCCCAACCATGGTTAACAATTACAGCATTTGACACACCAGTGGCACAGCGTTCAGCATCACAGCAACACTGAGCTATCTCAGTATAGCAAACTGACAGACCAGTGCTGTACCACTTAGAAGAATGTTCTCAAAAACAACACCAGGCCCACTCACCAGTTCCTGATTGACTTAAACAAGAGGCTTCCATATAAGGTCTGATACTCATATTTGTGTGTAGTACTCTCGCAGATGGTAGCCCTTAACTACCAACTTAAGAAAAATTTATTAGAAACGTGAGAAAATACACGTAGTGGGTTTTTCAAATCTTAAGATAAACATTCAAGTTAGTAAGTTGAAGTCAGGAAATACAGGCCTCAGCAGAATATGAATTTTATTACCAGGGGCAACTAATTATCACCTAGATATCAAGTAGATGGTAAAATATTCCTTGTTGAATTTTTCCAGAAATAGAATTTCCTATAGCTGTCACGTGGCAGTAATAAGCTAATGTTTTTGTTCAACTTGTAAAGTTGGGAGTTCGAACCCACCTGACACTACCATGGAAGAATTCAAGCTCATTGCTGTCAAAGTTCAGAGTAGCTCCTAGCTGATCCTCCAGCAGGTTTATAGAGACAGTAAATTGCACGGAGGAGCTGGTGGATTCAACCACGTGCCTAAGATTACAGACAACAAAACTCTGTGGAGCACTTCTGCCTTGTAACACATGAAGTCACCATGTGTCAGAATTTACCTGTTAGGTAAACAGAAGTGCATAAAATCACAACAGTTAGTAGTCAATACCAGCATAAACACAAAAATGTCATTTGGGTTTTGAAACTGGAACCAAATCAAAGTTAGCCGGTTTCTCTATTCTTAACTAGAGATCAGAAAACATCAACAGAGGAAGTATGGCTAATGTGAGTGAGAACAAAAACTTCCCAAAGCAAATATTTTTGCCTTGCTTTTTAATAGTTACTAAGCTATTTCAAAAAACTTACATTTATCCTAACTACCAGCTTGAAGAACTATTCCTTCAAATATTCTCTCCATCCCTAATCACCACTTAGGGAATCATAGTCCCTCCTTTTTTAAAAAAATTGTAATTTGAGTGAAAATGTATAAATAGAATTAAAATTTTTACTTACCCATTCATAAACATTTTGCTCTTTAACATGAATTTCAGTAACTACAGTGTAATAGCACTTCTGCTTCTTCCTTGTGATTCAGATTTATTAATCCTTCTATACCTCTCTGTCTTCCCAGTCTTTAGTGATAGCGTGTTCATCAACCCTTCATTGTGTGTTGCTTTTTCTTTCACCCATCTTAGCACGCTTCTCTTAGCCTCAGCAAGATGCATTGACACTGTGACTTAACAGTGGGCTTGAACGTAGATGATACGGTGAGGATAGTGCAGGATAGAACAAGGTTCTGATCTGTTGTTCATAGGGTCACAGTGAGTAACAGTCGTCTTAGTGACACCTACTAGCAGCAACATTATCTACTTACTGATTTTTTACTCTGCTCTACTCCACTTCTCATCCCTGGTAACCATCCAAGAATAGTTCTATGGTGTATGGACCTCTTTTAAGTAATGATCTCTCTCTCT